AGGAACGCCAGCAATCGCCCCGAAAATCCCTCCGTTCCACCGAAAATCCACACGATCGTTCCACGTGATCCTCGCAACAATCCAACCTTAAACCAAACACATCGCCAACAAACGATCAACCTTCTCTCGACACCGTTTGTTGTAACACAAAGAGCGATCAGAGCAAGTGCCAACTGTTTACCGTCTCGACAAAATTCTTCGCGATTCTCCGAAGGTCTCTGTGTCTCTCGAAGATCACCTCGAGCAAAGAGCTTCATCCCGAATTACACGCGTGTCTCCTTCGTCGTTCACTTCGACCAGCGTGTGAAAACGCAGCCAGTGGTATAAACACACAGACACGCATACATAGAGAGCGACGTCGTCGTGGCTGGTCAGCGTCGCGACGCCTCGTACAACGCTCAGTGCGAGTCTGTCGGTCGCGTGGCGAACCTACAACCCTCCCTCACTCTCGCAAAGTCAGTCGCGGAGGACACGTGGTGCGGCGGCGGCCACGCCGTTTCTATCGATCGCGATATTTTGATCGAGGTATCGAATTGCGTGGAGGAATCACAAGTTGACCAGGGTTACCAGTCGTCGTCCGTCTATCCATCTATCCGTCGGCCTTGACTGCTCGCGACACACATCAAACCTGTGAATATTTCAATAGCAGATCGATCTAGCCGCATAGCGGAACACGTGTCTATCTATCGCGTAGTGTTTGCCTGTGTGTTTTTCTATTCGTTTTGCCGCTGGTTGCCGCAACATCTGGTTCTCGTACACTTCGTTGCACAGTCTTCTCTCGACAACGCGACCAGGCCTAATAAGCATCAGGTACTACCCGGGGACACGAGTTCGAACGACACAACCTGCGTGATCGTCGCGCGACTGTTCTACTGTGTTACATAGACATCGTTGTTGTTCTTGTATACGTTTCGTGAATCGTATTTAGAGGAGGAGGAGAACGACAGCTCTAACAGTGTACATCAATCTGTTCTCCGTTGTCCTGGTTTCTTTTGCAACGCACCCCTTTTGTCTCCCCCTTTTTTTTCGTAATAACAACTTCTCCAAATTTGTTTCGTTATTGTTTCATTGGAAAACCTGTTTCTCGATCTAACTCTCCTTACTATCTCAGAGACTCAAGTTAGCCGGGACCCGGAGGAATCTCGGGCCCCTGAATTTGAGGATCGACGAGATAAATCCTTTGTGTCGTTACTCGAGGTATCCTCTTTTTCTGTTTTTGTCACGCTTCGCTCTGTACTTTTTCGAGTAGACGTAGAAGTAACAGCTAACGTAATACGATTTTCTCCGTAGCTAACTGTTTTCGTCCATCGTTGGGTGACACACACGTTTATCGCTTGCTGTATCGCTTTCTTTCTTCTCTCGTCGAGTCGCGGAGGTGCGTTTGCGGCGGCGAGCGAACGAAAGCAGTCGAAGGCGGCTAAAGATTCATCGTCGAGGGGGTTTTTCTCCGTTGTTTTTTTGAACAGCGAAGCGTCGAGGATCGTCGAGACGGCTAGTTTAACACGCGGTTCGTTTTGCCTCGCAAATCACCGAACGAAAACGATTACTGTCGTGCACGCGCGCCCTGGCCAAGTGTCGCAACGCGAAATAGCAAGGCGGTTGCCAGTCGACTGCAGAGACCGGTTCGAGAATTATCGCTCGAACTTCCAGGAAGAAGAACCGCCGTTCCGCCGTGACGATTAATTCTCCGTGTCCCAGCTGAACAGAACTTGGCTACGCGGAGGATCGAATCGTGTAGCAAAGTGAGAGAATCGGAAGAAGCTTGTTATCTTTCTTTTTTTTTGTCCGTGTGAAACGCGTCTAGGCTGGGCTACCTCGACGGATTCACCAGACGGTTTGAGTACTTGGTGAACGTAAAGAATGCACGTTTTCAAAGAGAGGGACTCGAAGGTTCTTTCTACTGTGACAGAGGATAGTGGAGGACACTTGGGAAATTGAGGAAAAGTGAAGGAGGATCTGGAAGCGAAGGCAAGGATATTCGGAATTTTTGTTTAAGAGAAGAAGGAAGACCGGGCTTCTTTACCATGAGATCCTGGAATAATGGAGGTCTAGTGGAGAGGTTTCATTAGTATACTCGCTTTTTCCGGATAGTAATCGTAGGGTCAAGTTGGTTTTAATTTAGCAACAGAGGGAAGCTCGATTTTGCTGTCTGTTGTAGCGGAAGTATTAACCTTTTTCGAAGAACTATTGGTAGGGTTAAGTCGTTTTTAATTTAGCAACGTAGGGAAGATCAAGGTTGCCGTTAACTTTTTTCCAAGTACTAATCGTAGAGTTAAATCGTATAAGTTCAATTTTGCTGTCAGTTCTAGCAAAACTATTCAACTTTTTGCGAGTATTGATTGTAGATATAAAATCATTTTTAATTTATCAACGTAGGGAAGATCAATCTTGCTATCAGTTGTAACAAAAGTATGAAACTTTTTCCAAGTACTGATTGCAGAGTAAAATCATTTTTAATTTAGCAACATAGTGGAAGATCAATTCTGCTAGCAATTATAACAAACGTATTCAATTTTTTCCAAATACTGATCGTAGACTAAAATAATTTTTATTTCATCAACATGGTGGAAGATCAATTTTGGTATCAGTTGCCTAACTCTCTTTCCAATCCAACTTTCATCGACAATTCTCCTCTTACAACAAAAATTCTAAATATTCTATCACTCGGTGAATTAAAATCAACATAATCTTTCTCTTCCCAGTCCCAAATGAGAACATTCTCACCGCTCTTTCCAACCCAACTAACTTCCAGAAGAGTCTCTAACCGACCAACGATGTCCTCGACCTTCTTCGTGTCCACCTCGAACCATCGAACACACCTTTTCGATCCACCTAAATCAATCTCGTCTAATCCATCGGAATTATTCAACCCTAATCGACAGATCGAACCGTCCACTCGATGTTCCACGATTCTCGACACAGGTTGAACTCTCTCTCTCGCAGGTATCGAAGCCTGAAACGACTCCAGCGGCGTCAGTCCGCGTTTCACAGGCTGCGCCGTAAACAGCGAACGCTATCGTGACAAGACAGTCCTTGCGGCTGCGGCAGATCAATCGAGAGGCTCGCGACTATTATAGTCAGTGTCGCTGGGTCGGGCAAACAGTCCTCCACAGTGTGGAGGCCATGTTTCACGGCCCACGGCGCCGCGGATGCGTCGCTTATGCCAGGAGAGACCAACCGAGCAACAGTTCACTCGTTTCTTCGTCAAATGTCGCATTATAGGAGGTATTATAGTCGTTGCAATTTTAATTTACTAGTTTCGTGGTGTCGTCTTCGTGATTACTCGTCGTGCAAAGTTTCAAGTAGTTATTCGTGGTTAAAGAAGCTATACGCTAAGTGATTTACCTGTGTGACAAGTGGAAAATGATTGTCTCGGTGTTACGTTCCTCACAGATAGAGACATTCACACAAGTGTTACTTAATTCTTGAAAATAATTCCACCGAGATTCGCTTTTTAGATGAATTTTATCGTCTCAGAAGTTTGGATCCACTGTAAACTTCATCCTTGATATTGGTTGAACAGTCGATGTGTTAGTAATGAGGGGTTGTTTGGCACTCCCGGCGAAGATTATTGGATATTGGAAGATTCCGGCGTACGAAGACCAGTGTGTGCGAGAAAAAGGGTTGTTTGGTCTGCTCTAATGAAGATTCGTCGTTAGACGTTGGATAGTTTAGCCGTGCGATAAACAGCGCGAGTGAGAAATTGCTACGAAATTCTTCGTAAAACTAAATAACCCTGTCAACGAAGGATCGTTACACGTTTCAACGAAGAAAAGACGATCGAACAATGCGAACTCGTTCGCCTCTGTCAAAGAAGAGATCACAGACGAGTACAGAAAAGTTTCAACTAGAAAACCGGGCTAGAACAATGGTTGTTTCGCCGAACGTGAGGGGGTCTGTCTCCGTTAGAACGATAAACGAAGATCCGTGATTCCCGCGTGACACGCGATCCCTCATTTCCGCGGCGTAATTATAATTCTCGGACCTTGAAGTAGCAACGGAGCTAAATCGAGCGTGGTTAGAATCGCGTTCACGTTTGCTGGCAGCTGGGTATCTAACACCGCGTGTGTTCATCACGATGATCTCACCATATCGCTTCGTACCCGGCCTTTTTTATTAATACTTTCATCTAGATGACGATACTTGGACGAGGGACACGTTAGATTAAGGTGAAAAAGACGCGAAACGGAATGGTAGCCAGCCAAGTGGAGAACGGGAATGCGATCGCGGACGAGAAATTAGTCAGGTTTACGCTGGCCAAACGACGTGGTAGGGCTTTCGGTTAATCTAGCAGAGAGAGTCTCGTGCGTAAGCGGACAGCGTAATCGCGTTTCTTCCGGTTCGAGAACCTGGGCACAGAGTTGTCACAGGGGAAGAAAACTAGGAAGACGGTCTGTCGAAGGGTAGATAATTCGCTAAAGGCAGAGTGGTGATTAGCTAGAGAAGGAAAGTTTCTGTTCAACTGGGAAAAAGGAGAAGATCGGAACGAGGAGGCGGTTCTAGCTTCGTTCTTCTAACGCTCGAGAGTGTGCACGACAAGGAATCCTCTAACCAAACGAATAACCAAATGAATTTTTACTCTGACAAAAACAACTATCCACACCTGTTTAATCCTAACAAATCTTCCTCTACGTTCGATCTGATCCCTCACGAAGAATACGAAAAGTGTGGAGAACTGATACTCTTCACGCAAGTGTAAGGGCGTTGACCCCGCGAATGAAGCTCGACAGCAGCGGCTCGTCGATCCGCCGGAAGACTGCTGTGCTCCGGACTCGATCTACCCTTTCACTCTAAAGTGAACCAATTTGAACGAAATAGAAAGCTAGAATTGAAACTAAACCGATCACGCGGAATACTAAAAAGGAAGGAAATCATAGGGAAGCTGCCTAGAGACGCTTTCGAACAAACCGTCACCACCACCACCGGCGCTGCTTCTTCTTCCATCCTGTATAAATAGCCCCAGAAACCGACCACCTTTGGGCCACGAAATCAACATTACACACAATCTACATACCACAGTGAATCAGAAAAACCAGTAAAAAAAAAAACACTCGTGACAACAGTATTACTCTCAAATACTCTCTCTCTCTCTCTCTCTCTGTCTCTCTATTTTTGTTCTTTTGTCTTTGTTTGTCATCTGTATATCTCTGTGTTCATCATCTATCTACCTCTCTGTCTGTGTCCACTCACGTTGGTCGAGAAACAAATTAGTCATGAATCTTATGTTCCGCAAGAACTTCGGCGGCGAGAAGGGACTCGGTGGTGGTGGAGGAGGAGGAGGAGGCGGACTGGAGGGTCGGTCGGTCCTGGGAGCCCCTTACGGGCCGTCCACTTTGGGTTACACGGGGACGCGGTTCGGCGTGGTGCGCGGCGCCGGCCAGTCGGCCGTCGGGACGCGCGCACCGATCCGACGAAGCAGGGAGTTCGGCTACTTTCCATCGATGGCCGATCACGAGCACCAGGGATACGGTTACCGGACTCACCTGTTCCTCACACCGCCAACAGGCGGTGCACTTGGCTCGCCGCCGGACGAGCCTACGGAGAGGCTCGGTCCACCGCCGAGGAAGAATTCCGGACCTCACGTGATCAAATGGGGAGGAGGTGGTGGAGGTGGAGGAAGCGCGTCTGCACAGACACCGGCTCCCGCTGGACCAACCAGGAGGAAACAGGCCCAAAACGCGCAACAGAAGGAACCATCGGAACCACCTACGCCTACTGCTTCCAGACAGGTAAGTGGAATTTTTTGGTTCTGGTTTGAGGTTAGGTTTAGAGGTTACTGTGGGGGGTAATTGTTTGGTGAGTTTGTGTGGGGGGTTGGGGACGTTTTGGAGAGATTTTGAGGGGTTGAGGTTGGGTTACAGGTGTTTTGAAGGGAACTGTGGATTGTTGGGGGGAGTTTGAGGTGTTGCAGACTGTTTTGGAGAGGTTTTGAGGTTAGGTTAGAGGTGTTTTGGAGGGAATGGTGAGTTACTATGGATAATAATTATTTGACAAGTCTGTCTCGGGTATTGTGGACGTTTGTGAAGAGATTTGGATGATTGAGGTTAGGATACAAATGTTTTAAGGGAAACTGTGAGTTATGGTGGGAAATAATTGCTGGTTAATTTATCTGAGGTACTGTGAAGAGGTTTTGAGGTTAGGTTCGAGATATTTTGGAGGGAATGGTGAGTTACTGTGGATAATAATTATTTGACAAGTCTGTCTGAGGTATTGTGGACGTTTGTGAAGAGATTTGGATGATTGAGGTTAGGTTACAGATGTTTTAAGGGAAACTGTGAGTTATGGTGGGAAATAATTGCTGGTTAATTTGTCTGAGGTACTGTGAAGAGGTTTTGAGGTTAGGTTCTAATGATTTGAGGTTAGGTTAGAGATATTTTGGAGGGAATGATGAGTTACTGTGGATAATAATTATTTGACAAGTCTGTCTGGGGTATTGCGGACGTTTGCGGAGAGATTTTGATGATTGAGGTTAGGTTACAGGTGTTTTAAGGGGAACAGTGGATGGAGATTATGGGAAATAACTGTTCCAAATCTGTCAGTGATATTGTAACGTTTAGAAATAAAAAAAGTATGTAAGATACTAGATAAAAATTGTTCAAAAAGCAAGATACTTGTAAAAAATCCGTTTCGAAAAAATTAGCAAAGATCGTACCGCGCAGTAATCAGCCAGCGTTCTCCAAGATGGCGGGCGTTAATCCCCAATCACCGCAGGCCCGATCCAAGGCACAGATACGTCTCTAAACTAGACGCGTGATCATTCGCTCGTGTCTAATCAAATACTTCACCGCGAGTACCGTGAATCTAGGTTAAATTTAATCAACTACCGCCTTTACTCCGGTAAACTACCAAAGAACCGCGGCAATCGAAGGAACCCAATCTCGATTCTACGGAACAGCGTATATCAGCCCCCGTGTCGTCGATTTCTCCTCGCGAAACGAGAAGAAACAAGAAAAGAAAAAAAGACACATTCTATGCAATATACACCGCTCTCGTCGCCGGGTAGAATCCCGGAATCCTTACAAAACGAATACACACGAATCGTAAATCTTGTTTCGCCTAGTGTCGACGAATGGAAGAATCGAGGACACGATTACGCAGGGGTTATCGTGCCACGATTGAACCTTGTTGCTCCGCGATATTAAAACCCCTCGAATTTTTCATTCGGTGTAAGGTCAACGGTTGTTCTTACTCCTTGGAAATTACACGATGTTACCTCTCCGACTGGGTTCTCGGCGAGGCAGGTATCGACGAGTGGCTACCTGAAACACGGCCAGCCGGACACTCGTGACGATATTTCAGCGGTAGAAGTACACGCCTCGGGCTCGATGCACACGAAAAGAGAGAGAGATAGCACAGGCGCACTTACACAGAGGATAGTTTGGTGAAACCGGCCGGAATTATGGAGGAAACGAGGCGGCCGTGCACGGAACGACCCGCATAAACTTACACCTACGCTCTATTCCCGTGGCCGGCACGCAAACTCGCTATCTTATTGCACGCCAAGGCGGATCTCGCGACGTGCCATAAATTTCCTGCGAGCCGACCGGCTCTGCTCGATATCCTGCGCTCATTGTGCTCGCTCCTCTGCCCTCCCTTCCGCGTCGCGTCCTTCGATTGAGCCTGGATTCTCTGGATAGATCGTTCCACCGAATGGCGCTGCCCGTTCCGCGAAGTAGACTTTTTTAAGGCCAAAGATTTCCAGGATTTCTTTTGTGGAGAAGGATTAATACTCTTGGGTAGCATTAACAATTCGATAATTAACCCTTTCACTGCGGCCCACCGCTGCACCTTTCGTGTGCCCATTCGCAGCAATCGTAACACATAATCCATTATTATTCAGGTAAATTATACACGCAAAAGCTATACCTATTTTACTTTCTTCAAAAAATTAGACGAAGCGAGGAAAAATCTCCGATAGTTTTCACCTCGATCAGTGTCAACTGTTTTGCATTGACCTAGCACTGCATTCGGTAGGAGCGATCATGTCGCGAAAGGAGGAATTGTTCGTGCTTTTCTAACACTCTAACACTTCCCCGATTCTTCCCTATATATACGCCTTTCGTAAATATTGATAAATCTGCGAGAGCGTATGTATACGCATTTCGTAGTCAAAGGGTTAAAAGGTATCTCTCGCAGCTTTTCGCGTGTAATCGATCATTTTCCCGTCCATCTCCGTCGAGTTTTAAGGAAAAATACTGTTTTAGCTTAAGGATTGTTACAGGGTATAGAAAATTCTTTAGAATTCTCGACTCTGGAGGCAAGAGAATAATGGTAATTTTTTCGATAGAAGCAAGTCTGTTAAATTGGGGGGGGGCTTGAGGAGGAAAATAAAAAAAAAGAGGGAGAAGGTTAATAAATTAAGACGTGTTCCACTTAAAGGCGTATTACAGTCGGTTTCATTGATGTTCGGGGCTAGGGAGAGGAGCGTGTTAAAGTTTTACAACCCGCACTCGGGGAAATTTCGAAATTCTCGGTTGGCAAGTTCACCGTCGAAGAGAACGTAAAGCAGACTGTCAGGAGGCAGACTTTTACAACGTCTTCGACGGAACCGAACACGAAGTATGTGTACTGGTGCACAGACGGTTGTATTCTCCGACTTCGCGGCTGGTTCTTCTCCCCCTCGAATGTAAATGTACCAGCGACGACGATGTCTCCTTTCGAAATGTGAAATACGCCTGCTTCGCGAACTGACACCGACAAAATGGTTTTTCCGTGTCAGCAAAAATTTGCCCCGCGTGTACACGGTGTCCCGGAAATAGGTTCTAGCTTCTTTTTTCTATAATCGAAAAGTATATTTAATTTTGAATCGAGAATTTATATATTTTTTCTGTGAGAAATAAGTGTTTATTA